GTGATTTCCAGTTTCTGTTTCTTAAATATGGAAAGACGTTTCACAAACACCGGAAAAGCAATTTTACTGCAGAATCTTTAGATTACTAGGGGTTTTTTTTTTTCTAATCATTTAAAATGATTTCACCCTCACCTATTTCAACTGTAATTGATTTTGGCTACTGACCTATTTTCAAAGCAGCCAACTGGTTCTCATACAAACTCCTTTTTGCCTTCAGACTTCACTGAATAATGTTTCATTAAACTATGTAATTACAATATCAAGTGCAACTGCCATTAACAGTTTGTTAGGTACAAACACAAACAATTCTTAGCAAGTCTATAATAACTGGTGGGAAAAAAAGTTCAAGAGTAAACTAAAGAGTAGTCTACTGCCACTCAATTTAGCACAGGCATCAGTCAGTAAATTCTACAGAAAGAGTGAAGACCATCATTTATTCTCACGAGTGGGTTAAGCAGTGGTCAGTCAAGAGAGATTCTCCTGTAAAAGGGTGTTCCCAAGAGTCTTTGCTTATCTACCCACCAATCAATTCCCCAACAATTCATATATATAAGCAACTTCTGAAATGAAAGAAGATTCACACAGTGTCTACTATGTGCTAGGCAATCTCATAGTGCTTGCCGCTTTATATAAATGTTCTCAATTTTGGTGAAAAATATAATGGCAGAGTGATTCCCTTCTTTTTCTTTTTTTTTTTCTTTTTTCCAAATGCAGTTATCAGTTAAAGAAAGCAGTTCCAGGGAATATAAAGTCATCTAACCAAATGAAACAAACTTGAGTACACCTTAAATCTGACATTACTACACTAGAGGAAAAAAAGCATTAAATATTTGTGTTTAAGAAAAAGAATATCATGAGATTTTACCTAATTTCATTGAAAGCTATGAAAAATATGGACATGATTTAGCCATAACTTTCATTAAATTAAAACTATGTAATATATCATTAGAAAAGAAAATGACCCCAAAAGTATCTCTTCTTTCCCAAATACATAAACATTTCAAGTTCATTATTAAGAATTCTTTCTTATAACTAAGATAGTAGGTGGGAAGTGGCAGGAGAAAACATAACCAATCACTTACTGTGATCTAAGAACAAATCAGTATGCACTTTCCTTAGGTTCCATGATAGAAGGGAACCCCAAATATTTACAGCTTCTAAATCTCAGCTTTGAGAAGAGAGCTAGAAAAAAACATGTCTAATAGCAAACTCCACTGTGTCTCTAAAAGTTATCTATCCCCACATGTATCTCTCGTTCTATATTTTCTGAGTACTTCAGAAGTCACTTCACATTAATGGATAACGCACACTCGATTTCTATACATTAAGAATCCCAAGTATGATCCTGCAGATAGTACAAAGGTATTGTTCTGAGGTAGCTTAAGTTACCATAATCATACTGTTTGCACATATAGAATCCCTACAATTAGAGAAAGGCAGATACCTCAAAACTGCCACTTCCAAAGAAATTACATCTTGAAGAACCAACACTCAGACAGATACCAATATCAATTAATCCTACTAAATACTAACTGCTTGAGAAAAGACAAAAAGGAAGAAGATGGAAACAGATCATTGGTGGTGTAAGACTTTGAAGTCAGAAAAAAATTTGATTCAACTATGCATTCTGCTACTTCCAAGATTTATCTTTCACAGGTTACTGCTTCCTGGTCTCAAAATGGAGATCACACCATCTAACTCATAGAGTGGTCTTAACAGTATCATTTATGACCTCCATACAAAGTAGGCACTTAATAAATTATAACAGGTATTGTTGTTATTGGGAAGTTCAAGGTAACACAAATTTACTTATAATGTAAGTCCTTGTTCAATGCTAAGAGGGAAATAATTAGTTTAAAAAAAAATCAAACAACCTCAATCTTCCCTGTAATATGATTCTACATGCATTTAAAAACCGGTGTTGTGAGGGTGATATTTTTCTAAGTGCTACAGATAATGATTAAGTTTGAGGTTAGATTATTTTAGGGTCATCTAATATTTAAAATGACTGAAAACCTCCCACATATTTATCTGAAACTGTGGAAGTTTCACATTTTATCATTCCACTGTTATAATCAGTTCTCTACATGTATAAATTCTTTACATTTCACCTTATGTATAGCAAATCTCACCTATCAACAGTAATATAAACTATCCAATGACCTATAGTTTATTTTTTTATTTAATATTTCAGCATTCCCTCTACTTGGTGTGATATAATACATCCGTTTGAGAAGCCCTTTAAAACTGAACAACCACTTATCCCATTCTGAAAAAAAATCTAAACCAATAAACTACACCAGAATAAATCTATTCTCAGCACAGAGGGGATTACAGGATGGACCAGAGGGGACACAGAGAAGTAACTGGTGAGCTTCCCATTTCTTCCTGAGTTACATTTTTACAGTCTGATTTATTTTATGTATAACCAATGGCCAGATTACCAGACACACCCATATTCAAATACAAATAAAGAAATATAACAAAGCCATGTATAAACTGGTTTGGATTATATACTTTTCTGCTTTCCTATAGTAGCACAAATGATAGCAAACTATTTTGTTATAATCTGCTTCCTTAAACTTACTATCCTCATTTGCCTACCTATGATCAGCATAGAATCTATATAAACTCAGACCTTCATATCTCAAACTGACTCATTTTTAAATACTACACATTATGGACTTCATGGCCTGATCTCCACCTACTTTCACAGCTTCCTCTCCCACAAAGACCTCCTGGCACAGCAGCCTTATGTCCAGCTCAACATGCCCTATAACACCAAACCACATGTCTGTGCTCAGGCTGTTCCCTTCACCTAGAAAACGAGCCCCACCCTACCCCGCATCCCCTAATTTGCCTATTAAAATATTTTAAGACCCAGATGCAGTGTTACCAGCTCTACACTCATTCATAATTCTCCAGTCAAAAATTAGTATCTTTCACAAACACACCCCAAGCTTCCATGCACCTCCAATAAAACCCATGGGAATATTGTATAGAATTATTTTTGTGCGTGTCTGCTTCTCCCTTGAAGGCAAATACTGGGTCTCATTATCTTCATATTCTACCCACTGTTCCATTCGCATCACATAGTAAAGGTCCAAGTTGAATTAAACTATTTTTTGATTTTAATTCCAGTCCTTTATTTTGAAGGAAGCAATAAATGCCTTTCAAGTATTGAAGATTTTGTTAATACATTGTTAAAATTTACAAATCTAAAAATGAAAATATCGGTAATTACATATTGCATTAATTTTAAGTTGATGATTGGCAGAGAGGTCAGTGAGTACAGTAAATCCTCAGTAAAGATAATCATTTCTAAAGATTCTCCCCAAAAACTCTCATAAATATCAACATCAAAATTAACCTTTCTGTCCCCCATTCTAGTAAGAACTACTTCTACTTGATGCATATCCAGAAATGCAACCTAACTTAAAGCAAAAGTGTCTACACATTCGGCTAAGAATCCATGCCAAAGCCATATAATGTATTTGATAACATCCTTCTTCCAATGCCTATATATACAATTTTCATATTTTGTACAACTATAAAGGCTAATGTATACAAAACATGAAGATAATTTATCTATACTCAGGTTATAGCTACAGCAAAGTTTGGAAATAATTATAAAATGCACTAAGCACATCTCAGAAAAAAGGAAAGAAAGAAAGAAAGATATTAAGAATGTCACAAACCAGGTCTGATTTTTTGGTGGAAAATGTTTTCTTAAATTGGTGTCACATCTTTGTAATTCTAAATTATTATTTAATTTTTGTAATATTTTTCTCCAAATTTATTTGTGGGGAAAGCCAATATTCTTCAAAGAAACATATGGAACATCAAAAAGTGATATTTTTAATTTTAAAATCTATCCCATCTTAGATATAGTTCAATATCTCTTACTATCTGTGGTCAAACGTCATTCGTATCAGAAGAAGTAACTGCAAAAGTAAAAGAAATGACTTATTTTGTTAATTTATTAAAAATAAGTGGGCTTAGTGTTCTAATTTAAAACAGTGTTCTAATAGAAGGTTTAAAAGGGGCCACTGACTGACCAGCCTGAGTACTCATCACAACATTAGAGTTAAAACTAATTCACAGTGTAGCAACTGTAGCTTTCTCCCACACACTCTGTCTCCCACCTGAACTTAACCTCCTGGCCTGAAACACGAGGTGGGAAAAACTGGAACGATCATGCCACAAGCCTAACTAACCCCCACGAGCATACACATCTCCATCACCATCCTGCTGAAAAGAAATGTGGGGGCTGTGGACCAAGAGAACCGACACTTCTGTGTGTCACTTCCCCTGCATGTGGGATAAACAAACAAGCACCGTAACAGTAACCCTCAGAGTAATTTTGTTACCTTTGACTGATGATTTGGTTAAGTTTTGAGCTAAGTCAAAAGCTCTATCAAATATAATAAGTAAATCCCTGTGCCCCCCCATTAAAACAAACAATCCAACGGGAAGTTTAGCCCTGAACTAAATGCTGGCCCCAGTCACCTCCTTCCAGCAGATCCATGCCTTCCTCCTGCCCAAAGCCCCTACCCCAAAGGTAATTGTCCAGACACAATCAAGGAGCGCAGTGGGCTGCACTCTCCACCTCAAAATCCCTCCTAAAAGCAGCCCCCGCCTTAGCCCAGCTCGCCCACCTCCTTCCTGCTCCCATTCGCTCCGCACCACTCGGGCAACTTTTGCACCCAGCCCGGCCCGCCGCCCGCGGCCCCCTCCTGCCCCCCGAGCCCTCCGCGCCCTCTACCTCCCGACCGCGGCCCCCTCCGGCCCGCGCCTCCGAGCAGCCCGCCCAGGTCCTCGCCCACCCTTCCTCGCAGACCGCCGCCCGCGGCGCCGCCCCCGCCGCACCCCACCCCACCCCGCCCGGGACCCCAGCCCACCCCGCCCCACCCGGGAGGGAGGGAGCCGCGACCGCGCTCAGGCTGCCGCCGGGCCGGGGCCGGCCAGCCGGCCGAGCACAGACGCGCAGGGGGCTTTACCTCAGAGGCGCTGTCGCGAGCGGCGGGGTCGGTCCGGGCGCGGGCGGCGCCCCCAGGTCCGTCAGTCAGCGGCGACGGGGGCAGCGGCGGGGGCACAACAGACGCGCCGGCGGCCGGAGGAGGAAAACGAGCCACGCAGGGAGGGATGAGCGAGGTAGGGGGAAAGGAATGAGCGAGGGAGGTAACACAGCTCGGCTCGGACTCGGTCCCCGCACTACTGCCGGTGCCTCCTACCGCCGCCAGTGGCCGGAGAGTCGCCGCCCGAGCCGCTGCTGTCGCCACCGATGCAGCCTGGAATGAATGCACAGCGGTGCCTCACTTATCCGGAGGTCAAACATCCTTCTGCCTCGGGCATCCGGATCGACGCCGGACCCGGAAGTGAACACACGGAAAAAAAATAGAAAAGGAAAGCGTCTCTCTAGTGGCGGCGGCCCCTCAGCCTCCCGCATCAGCGAAAAGAGCCGAGTGGAGCCGAAGATTACACCGACCTGCTCGGATTGGTCGGATCGCTGACCGGAAGAGAGGCAGCGCGCTCATTTGCTGGCAAAGCCTATAAACATCAAACCACGCCCCCTCCCCACCTTCGCCTAAGCAGTGGGAGAGGGAAAGTGAGGAGGTTTCGTGGATACGAGTATGAGTATGTTTCTCTAGAGGAGGCCGTGAAAGAAGAGGCTTAACAAGGTCTACGGAGAGAACTGGAGGAAAATGCTCCCGTGGTTTAGGAGAGCTACCAAGAATGGAGCGAGCAAAGAGCGTTAAGAGTGCCATTGTACAGAGTCAGGGTGCTGAGGCTTTCCCTGGTGCGCCCAGCACAGCCCTCAGGTTCTGAAAACTCTTAGGGCCTGGCCTAAAGGGATGACATCACTGGGTTGACATTTTTCCCCCACTGCTTTCTAACTCCAGTGTTACATCGGGGATTCAGCTGCTTAGAAATATGAATTGTGGCTCATATTTGCATCTCATTTGCTATCTATGAAGAACTCCGTTTGCGAGCTCAGGTAATCCTCTAAGCTATACAGTGTGGTAGATATTATCTCAGTTTTTCAAATGAAACTTCTGAGGTTCCGAGAAGCTGAACATCACTCACGGTCATAAAGTTGTAGAACACAAACTGGAATCGATGTTTTCTGGCTCCTCTCCCGTACACTCTGCCCACACAGAAAGGGCGGAAGAGTACATTTGTTCCTCTCTCCCTCCTGCAGTTGGTTAACTACGATAGAGATAAGTCATTCTGAAAGACCTCTCTGGAACTTGATCTACCATGAAGGCAATGTGGAGGATTCCGAAACTATAATTTTTTAATTGTTATTTTTAATGTTACTTATGTCTAAAGTCCTTTCAAAACTTGGGCATTTAAGATGCGCATGAAGAAAAATCACAGCTTGGTGGTATGTTTAAAAATGTTCATTCTATCAAACAGTTTTATATTCTTGATATACTTCCTGTATCAAGAAACTTGTATATCTCTACCTCTCCCTCTTTCTGTCTCTCAAAACTTAAAGACTTCAGTGAAACAAATGTACTTTATAATAATTGAGGATTTACTGCATTTTCCTCCCTACCTTGCCAGACTGATGGTAGTGCTAATGTGTTACCTTCAGAGGAGTAGTTATGTGGAAAGATGCTGTTTTTGTTTTGTAATACAACAGTGCCTTCTCTACCTCTCTTTTCATGCTCTTCCCCAAACCGAAAGTTGAGGAATGACATCACCAGTCTTAGAAGAACAGTGATAAGAGCACTGCTTTGAGCTTACCACATCATCATTCTAGAAGAGACTCAAAAGCAGCTAAGATTTATGCGTGCTTAGACTTGTGAATATCTTGCCTAGTCAGATGACATAATCTCAAAATTTCTGATCTATCCCAAGACCCAATCAATACTAGACAAGAAACAAAGTTAACCCTATCTCACTAAATGGAAGAGAAATATCTGCAACACAGGAAACTAAATATTGTCCTCAACTCCCAACAAACATTTTATACTTTCTGCCTCAAAAAAAACTCAGTTTAGATAAAAAACACCAACCCCACTAATTCTTAATAAATGTTTAGGAAATACAAGTATATAAATATGTGATCAAATCACATTTTAAAATTAGAATTGAGTAGGAATAAATGTTTACTTGTTTACATTTTTTTACATTTTTTATATTTTACAAAAAATCAGAGAAGATTTTTTGTAAAATTTGGCTATAGATTAAAATTGGCAAAGCCAGGTACAGTGGCATATACCTGTAGTCCCAGCTACTTGGAGGCTTAGGCAGGAGGATTCCTTGAGCCCAGGAATTAGAGTCTAGCCTGGGCAACACAGCAAGACTTCATCTCAAAAAAAAAAAAAAAAAAGGCAAATAATGTAGTCAGAAAGCAATTAAATTTTCAGGTCCTTCTACTAACTTATAAGAAAAAAATAGCAATATGAAAACAGCTTATATTAATGGAGAAAAAGCCAAACCACAGGCATCTCAACCAAAACTTTTATAGCAAGGTATCTCAACTTAATCAGACAGATCATACTTTTCAATCTACTATATTACAAATCAAATACAGTTTATTTGTTGTGTCACCCTATATTTCCTAGAATTGCCATTCTTCAGTATTTAGTTTCTATTATTTTTCAGTATGATTATAGCATAAATCCATGTGTTAGTGCTGTCACAAGCTTTTATATTATAGTACACTGGAAACTTGCATTCATCAAATTTCTCTTTTGCCAAAAGTTTCTCTTCATGTCCTACAAACACTTTGAGAGAGAGAATGGTATGCAGATTTTGTGGAAAATAAAGCTGGTCCTTTTCCCTTCTCTGTAAGCAGTAAAACTTCAAGTGGGAGAAAGAATGAAATACAACAGTTTGATTAGAGTTTTAAGCAAGAAATTATGAGATTAATATATTTACTAAAACTTTTCGAAATAAAAACAGATGAAACATTCATTTATTTATTCCCAATATTTTCTTCAGTTGTACTAGTAAACCTATCATGGTGATTTGCTGGTTGACATAGGGTAAGGCCTGAGACATCACCAAAGTATGCTTAATTCTTTATTTTTCAAACATTATTTTTAAGGTAAAGTGCCTGAAGGAAAGATGTAATTAAGAAAAAGTAAACGGTGAAGTAGAAAGAGGAAGGATACATAATGAGACACCGTATCAGTAGCCAGGAGCTGGGGGCAGAGCAACATATTTTTCTAAGACCAGGAAATTAAGTTTTTCCCCAGTCAAGCCTACAGTCAGGGGGAGGGTCAGGAAGGATTCTGGAAGAAAGCCAGTCACATACAGCAGCTAGATCAGGTTTTTGAGAAGCTATCATTTAGCAACCTTTCTTTCAGATTGTTACATGAGTACATCTAGAGTCAAGACACTGGTTTATAGTAACCTTAGGATGATTTTAAGAATTTTCTAGGTGGAAAAATAAATATGCAAGAATCACAAAACTTTTCCAAGAGGCTTTAATATATTGTATAATAATGATCTTCAGAAACGTTTAATAATATCACATATTTAGGCCTCCTGGTCTTGGCTCAGGCAGCCATAACGCAATACCATTGTGCTAGATGATTTAAATAATAGAAATTTATTTTCTCACAAGTCTGAATGCTGAAAGTCTGAGATCAGGATGCCAGCATGCTCAGGGTCTGTTGAGATCTCTCTTCCTTACTTTCTGATTGGCGCCTTCTTTCTGTGTCCTCACGTGGCTTTTACTTGGTCTGTGGGCATGGAAAGAGAGAGTGATCTCTCTCTCTTCTCTCATCTTAATCTCATCATGAAGGCCCCACCCTCATGACCTCATCTAAATTTAATTGCCTCCCAAAGGCCCCAACTCCAAATTCCATGACATTAGGGGTTAGGGTTTCAACGTAAGAAATAGGGGGAGACAAAATTCAGTCCATAGCACTCCTCGAAGGACTATCTTCCATGTAGAGAGTATATTATCTATCAGTAAAAGAGAAGGTAAAGGTTAGACAGGATGTTAATAATGGAAGACAACTTGTGGACAACAATGTTAAAACCTCATAGAGAAAAGAATACATTCTTAAGAGAAAGAACTTCAATAAAGAAAACTCTGGAGAGAAAACCTATAAACACCATAAAAGTGTAAAAGTGTCTTGCCAAAAGACACAAAATGTCTACGTAGGCAATTTAATTTTTATTTTTTTCCATTAGCAGACCTGAATTTTGGCAGTTTTGATCCAAAGAATATTACTTTGTGATAAATGGAAGAGTTAGCTAAAGCTGTGATTTTCTTGTAATGGTTTCAAGAACAGGTTGAATTCTGAGTAATATAGGAATCTAAAATTTAGAGATGGTCGTAATAATTAGTCCCTGTTCCATTTCCCTCCCATTGTCCTTTTTTGCTCCCCATAATTATATCTTCCTATATCTACCTCAGGAGTCCATCCCAGCTCATAAGGAAAATCTGAGCAATACTAAGGATGTTATCAGCCCTCTCCCATAGGAATCAAGCAGCCTCTAGCTGAAGATGTAGAGTGCCAAGGAAGAGCTCTGGATTAGAGGAAGACTTCAAAGTGTGCCACTCCCCTATCTCCCTAATGTTTTCCCAGTCTATAGCACTGGACTTCTTCTTTGGTTTCCTTTCATAATAGAAACTTTAGCCTTTCCAAAACCCCCATCCAATGTGGAAAAGGTTTAAGTTTTGTTTGGAAAATTTTTCACTAGTCCCAGTTCTGTCTAGGTGGTGACATAGAGTCTCGTTATGATGGATTACCCTCAAACTGCTAAACTGCTTCAAACATCACCCACTGACTAGGCTTACTGGATCACTATATCCTTCTGCTGGATAGGACTGCACTGGTGCCAAAGCTTGTCTACTCCATGTATGAACTTCATGTGCCCTTTGGACAGTGAGCAAGGTCTACCTTGTGGTGGTCAGCCTCTTTGTGTAATCATGTATCTTTGGTCTCTGCCATGCTTGCTCATGCTTGAGGTTAACTTCCTCCCTCTCTTCACCAACTAGTACTGCTAAATGCCTGACATGTCATCAACCTCCCATCTACTCCTATTATGGTATTGATGCCTGATGACTAAACAACATCACAAAGTCAATAGAAGTTAAAATTGATAAGGGAGGATACTTGAGTTATAAAACCCTCACATCTAAATAGATGTGTGTACTTCTACTACAATTAGTATTATACCACTTTTCAATCTCCTTCTATATTCCTTCTTTACAACAAGCTATTTAAGTACTCTGAACATCAGTTAGCTCATCTGTAAAATGAGGCAGTATTATCTATATCATATTTACATCAGGAAGATTAAATGCAATGATATATCTGTAATGTACTTACCACAGTGTCTGGCATATAGTAGGCACTAAATAAATAGTTGTTAGGTACCGCATGACCACTAGGAACCTGCATTCTCCAATCTCACATGAACAGTTATCAGAAGTTGAAAATAGATTCCAAGATGTGTCCTAGCATTAAGAGTCGAAGACAAAGAGCTGGATTT